ACAGCACACGGCCCGCAAACGACGGTCTGTCCTTCAGATGACTGGTTTTTGACGGATAATCATGCAGCTAATCTTGAAGGACAAACAGTGCAGCGGCATAGTGTACGTGCTGTGGTCCGTGCTCTTGTTGACGGAAAGCACGTACGCTCGGTGATGGCGGCATGCGGCGAACTGCAACCGGGCCTTGAAAGTGCGCTGCCCGCACGCGGAGGCGTTGCCGGTCTCGTCGCGACTGGCTGCTACCACAGTGCGGCGCCGTCCGAGATGGGTCGGAAGGGGTGAAGCATGGATGAATGCACCGCGGCGTACCTCGTCCCCGGCAGAGGGTGGAGGATGGACGACCTCCAGCGCAGCAAGGATAGGCTGCATGTCGTCATCACCATGGGATCATCATCGGCGGCATGGTGCCAACCGGGAGTGTGGTGGAGGGTAGCGCGAAGCACGCCGATGGCAGCACTGCGGCAGTGAACAGGATGCGGGCAGCGCACACGGGGGACCCAGGCAGCGGCAGCTCGGCCCAGCCTTCAACGTGGAGCTCCGAGAGGAGGTCTGCCACATCGTCGTGGAGATGGCCGCGGCGGCAGAAGCGGGACGGCGCCGCGGCGGTGCCTCGAACGACGACGCCGGGGGAGGGATCCAGTGGCCAGGGGCACCGGCAGCCTGGATGGGCGCTCCTCCGCATGGCTTCCACAAAGAGGAGATGGCCAGATGGGGATTGAAAGAAGATGAGGCGAGAGCCTGCCGGGGGTCCTTTTATATGCGCAATGGGCGGCCAAGCGGTGGCGGAGATTGGACTCAATACTTCTCGACAGAAATATCTGGAGAGACCGAGCGAGGCAACACGGGCGAACACACGTATCTACAGGAAAGGAGAGGAAAAAATCTACAGGAAAGAAACTTACCAACCCGTGCAGGACGCAACGGCCGGCGAACAGCACGGCGGCAACGCCGCCCTAAGGGCATTTACAATGGTTGATAAGATAGTCTTATCTTAAGTTTTGCATGTAATTTAAAGATGACAAAAAAAAATGTCTATAATGAATCATCTTTTAGCCTTATCTTCAAAGCCTTCTCTTATGAGTTCTCTTTCCTCCACCTCATCATTTATCCTATGTGACACTTCTAAAATAACACCATTATACATGCCCTAAATGAGCCGCAGGAGAACGACCGCCGTCATTACGCACACGGCCGATAACAGCCGCCCGGATCCAGGAGGACACCCCCGCCGGCCTCGACCAGACCGGATAACAGCAGGAGTAACCATCTCCACCTCTAATAAATTATACCGCTAAATGCAGTGACGAACGCGCAAGTGACCGAAACGAAGACAAATGAGAGCCCCGTATTTATAGCATCCAACGACGAAGCGAAACACAAGTTGAAGACAACCACTCAATGCAGAAGAGAAGCAGCTAGAATGACGGAGAAAAGCGACCTCACGCCTGGAAAGCACGAACGAAGCGGCGGCTGATTTAAGAAGGGAGTCCGTGCCGCAGGAGAAATCCAAAACCGAAACAACCACAGCATGAAAGCACAGCCGAAGCGGCGACCGGCTTCAGAAAAAGCACCCGTGTCGTAGGAGAAATCCAAAATCAAAACAGCCACCAGTATGGAATTCACCTATGGCACCAGAACCCACGTTCAAATGCAGGCCCACCTAGCAGTCCCGCACCAGCGCACACAGGCATAGACAGACAAACGGGAGAAGACAAAGCACATCGAGGAAAGAAAAATACAAAGCGGCAGTCTAGGGAGAAGCATGCAGAGCCAACCACAAAACGCCAATAACGATGTAATCAAATCGAAACTGAATACAGACCACGCATGCAAGCCAATGAGAACTGCTCCATCGTGCATGCATGCAACCAATAGCGTGCTGCAGCCAGAATCCCACCCACAAACGCTAAACGCACACAGCCGTAGACCCCGCCAGGTCCCCCAATAATGCACGTGTCCCATCCTGGTTGGTCCGGTTTTCACTGATAAGAAAAAGTTAAAAAAACAGATAAACTAAACCTGGCCAGGTTTAGTACATGTATAATACATTGGCTACATTCATGCTATACATCCGGGTGTGTGCCGTGTGTGTGTGTGTTCGTGTGATGACAGCAAAAGAAAAGAAATAATAAAGACAAAATGTCAACAACTGCGACCTGCCAACCAGATCATACATCGTACGAATACGGAACAAGGCACAAATATCATACTTTCTTTTTTCAGAAGTTGCCTACATACACATGAATGTAACCTCCACCTACAGAACACTTAACTTGGTTGCAATCAACTCAGTGCAGTACAAGGAAGTTCACACCAAATAAGGATCTTACTGTAGATCACAATTACTTAATACCCTTAAAATAATATAAAATAAGAATCATATCATAGATCACCAAACATGACAAGTAATTGAGAGAACCACTCTATCGAAATTACGAATTACTAGCTAGATACTCAATGGACGTCCAAGCATTCTTTCGGTGAACTTTGTTATGATTAGAGAATAATGCTCTACACCCTAATACAGGTGTGGCTATATATATAGGGATTGACTATTGGTCACCCTGAGTGAGGAATAGTTATTCTTCACCCCCTCTATTTTACCATCAATGGACCGTAATTTTACGTTCCGTAAGTTTTGTCTTATTCCCGATGTGAAAAGAGACTGTAATAAAATATAGAATAGTCGTAAAAAACATTTTATGTTATGTAAAATTACAAACGTAAAAATATAATGTAAAATACACATAAACTGCAAATTTCTTGTCTTATGACCTATATTTCTTATGCCAAATTTTACGTAGTGAATCAATAGGAATGTAACTATTTGAATTCCAAACGTAATTTAATTATGAAATGATCGTAAGATTACCTCGGGTGAAGAATAACTTATTCTGCACTCTGGGGGATGAATAGTATCACTGAGATTGACTATTCGTCACCCTGGGTGAGGAATAGTTATTCTTCACCCCCCTCTATTTTACCATCAATGCACCATAATTTTACATTCCGTAAATTTTGTCTTATTTCCGACGTAAAAAGAGACCATAAGAAAATATATAATCGTCATAAAAAATATTTTATGTTATGTATAATTACAAACATAAAAACATAATGTAAAATACACATAAACTGTAAATTTTCTTGTCTTATGATCTATATTTTTATTTTCTTATGTCAAATTTTACGTAATGAAT